TTTGAGGCAAATGACATGAATTGTTGAAGACCTTGTGCAAATTCCTCTGTAAGAAGTCCAGTTGAAGGATCTTGATGATTTTGATCCATCCAAGACCTGAAATATTCGTTTTGATTGGAGGAAGACATTCTGTGTAATAGAATTTTCGGATTTAGAGTGAAAAATGTGAAAGAGAGGAATTACAGTCGGGAAATATAAAAGAAAATTTTGACGGACTTCTGACCGATTTCTGACCGATTTCCAACAGCAATAATATGGTTAAAAATTCGTCAGAAATCCGTTAGAAATTTCTAACGGTTTTCCGACCGACCAAATTCCGTTAGAAATTTCTGACCGTTTTTTGACAAATGTCAGTCCGTCAGAAATTTCTGACCATTTTGAAAATCCGTTAGAAATCCGTCAAAATTTTCTGACGACAAAAAGTTCGGTCAGAATGCCCGTCAGAAACAACCTCTTTTCTTGTAGTGTTACAAAAGTTATGAACATTGCTAAGATGATGAAAGATGAGTACAATGATAAAGATTGCTCGCTTTTGGGTATTGGAGGTGTTGAAACTGGCTATGATGGAGCTGAATTCATTCTCCTCCGATCAAACATTGTACAGGTGAATAAACTCAACATTACCTTTACTTTTAATTTTTAGTCTCTAACTCAGTCAGAAACTCAGTTATTGCTTTTGGTAGGAAGATATGCATTGGTGTGATGGTGCATGGATATGGTCGTGTGATAACCCTATGCGCCGAGCTTCAAGATTTTATGGAATAACACAACTTCTCAACACTATAAGACTTTAGAGGGTATTAACAACTTTTTCTACCTTTTTCTAATCCTTACTCTTAATGTTGCTTACTTGCTTGTTTGTTCTTGGCACAGGCATTCGCTTTAATATTTTACAACACACATAAATTTAGTCAAGAGACAAAAAGAAGCTATTGAGCAGAGAAAAGCGGAGAGGAAAGGGTTGAAATCTGGTAAAGGACCCGAGATGGGTTTGTGAAGGAGACTGAGAGTATTGTTTCTAGCTAAAGCTCAGTAGCCTAATGGACCCAAATACTTAAATAAGGTTTGCAACTTCCTTCACAGCCGAATGACAAAGGTTTTTTCCTTTCTATCTTTTTATGTCGACCTCTTTACCTCTCTCACTTGAAAAGCAAAGAACACTAAAGTTCAATGTATCTTATGTTCGTCTAGTTGTGTATCATCTGTATAATGTATCCGTTCCCACCATTTCTTTCAAGTTGTCTTTTAACATTTATCTTTTCCTTGAATCAGTTTTATGTTTGTTGTTATTCTACAACATGTTAATATCAAAAATAAAATTTTAAATGACATAAACCATTACATTTCATATATACAGTAACAATAATATGCAAAAAAAAAGCTTTAACATTAACTTTTTTCCACTTGCTTGAAGTCATATATAATTGAATTAATTAGACATTCACTTGTCTATCAAACTTCTACAAAAGAGAACCTTAGAGTAGGTTCATCACAGGGGGGGGGGGGGGTCTAGGGTGCTTAGGGGGAAAAGGTAACCGGGAGGGGCATAAAGAAACAAAAGTCGACGCCTTTGATGCCCAAATAAGCGTCGAATTTTTCTGGGTGGTTAAGCTGTTCCGCGGGCCCCACGACACGTGGCGGCCCACGATTGGTTGTATTTTATTTTTTTCTTTTAATCAGAAAAAAATTAATCAAAAAAAAAAAAATTAAGCGTCCCCTTTTTCGGTGTCCGCGATAAAAATTTAAGCGTCCCCTTTTTTGGTAATGAGCAGAGCATCTCCGAAAACTCCTCAAACCCTCAAATTTTGAGGTTTTTGTCTCTCCAAGAAACCCTCCGATCTTCAAATTTTGAGGGCGTGAATAGTGAAACTTCAAATTTAAGGATATACTATTCATGTTCTCAAAAGACTATTCACTTTTCAGTTTAGTCCTTATATTAGCATATCTTACATATAATTGTATTTGTATTAATTTTCTTATCACTTTACTCCTTATCACTATATTTTATAAATATATTTGTCTGAAATATTCAAATATATCTTATATATGTAATTAATACATAAAATATATAAATATGCTAAAATAAAATAAAAGATAATATAAAAGAATAGTACTTAAATAGAACACTTTGGGTTGATTAATCATATATGAGAACATTATGAAAATAACACTAGTGAGCAATTTTTATTTTTAGTTTTTTATGAATTAATGTGTGTTTTCTGTTATTATGTTATGTATTTTTTTATATAAATTGTATTTATAAATACTATGTTTAATTTTTTTAAAGTGTAGTATTATCTATATATATATATATATAAATTTTAGTGATTATCATTAGTTTATATTAAAGTTGGGGACTAAAATATAAATAGTATAAAATTTTCAAGATAGATTTGAGGATTTTTCTTGGAGTAATACACCCTCAAATCTTCATTTTAAGGATTCTCCATTCTTAAAAATGAGATTCTTTCTTGGAGATGCTCTAAGTATCAATCTATAGCCCCAAAACTTTATAGAAAAAAAATACATAATGTAAATCTCAAATTTGTAAGAAAAGATTATATATAATTTTTTACTAAACTGTTTCTAACTTTCAAAATTTTAGGATCGGTCCCAGCGGAAAACACATCCTTAGAGCAAGAGTTTGTATCATGCCAAAAAAGCAACTGAATTTTACATTTTTTGGTGAACATTGGCATTGGCTAAGAAAGCTTGCTTTAAAAATGATCTAATATGAGACGATTAAGATTCTGGGCCATGTTAGCTTTACTTTTGTGTCTAAAAGGTTATATGCATTATTAATTAAACACACCAGGTTAATGCAAAGATCAAAAAAGGCAGCAAAATGGGCTTTATGACAAATGGATTTAAGGAAGAAATATAATGTACGCAGAAGACAAAAGTGTCCACGACTTGGTTCAGTGACTTTAATAGCCATTAAACTCGTTTCATTTTCTACCTAATTACGTTTACGTGTTCATCAACAATTCTATTTTTACTGATTTATTCATAAATATCTTTCAAGTATTCATAATAAGTTTCCGTGGTAAACAAACCTTTTTTTGGGCTGCATATGATAATTAAACAAACGCTTAAAATTTAGTATAAATAATGTTATCAGGATCTGTGTACTGTAATCCCAGGAGAAATCGTAACTGAATCGATATAATCTAATAATCATACTACTTAATTAATTATATTTTTATTTATAAATAAATCACTAATTATTATTATTGAGATTGACCGTATATATCTGAAATAATGATAATAAGTAAATAAAAAGAAAAGCCCTATAAACACTCTCAGGAGAGAAGTTAGTTGTATCGATCGTCTTCCCTAAACAACACTCATTGATTACTATTTTTTTCTCTCCGACGCAGCCATGTCTCTGCTCTCAGATCTCGTCAACCTCAACCTTACTGACTCAACCAAGCAAATCATCGCCGAATACATATGGTTCCATCTCCCTCTCTCTCTCACGACTAGTCTTATTATCTCTGTTTGTTTTACTCTGTTTTTGCTGTCATGCATCGATGAGATTGATGTGTACATCGTAAAGCTTGTCTCTTTTTTTTTTTTCGTCTTCTGGGTTTGTGATACTTTTCGTATGGATGTGAATGAACAGGATCGGTGGATCTGGCATGGACATTAGAAGCAAAGCCAGAGTAAACTGATACTCTGTTTTTTTACATCCTCTGCTTTTTTTCCTCTCTATGTTTCTTGTATGATTGATATGGTTTGTTTTTGAATGATACAGACGCTTCCAGGACCAGTGAGCGATCCATCAAAGCTTCCGAAGTGGAACTACGACGGATCAAGCACCGGTCAGGCCTCTGGAGATAACAGTGAAGTCATTCTATAGTACGTTCTTTTATCATCTGTCTCTGTTTATCACACATTAACACACATCTTGTCTTAATCTTGTTTTGTGTTTGTTAATGAATTTATAGCCCTCAGGCGATATTTCGTGATCCGTTCAGGAGAGGCGACAATATCTTGGTAGGGTTGATATTTAAATGATTAGTGTGACTAAATACAGTTTTGATCAGAACAAAAAAATGATTGGTTGTTGTGATATATGCAGGTGATGTGTGATGCTTACACACCGGCTGGTGATCCAATTCCGACTAACAAGAGGCACAAGGCTGCTAAGATCTTCAGCCATCCTAACGTTGCCAAGGAGGTGCCTTGGTAATCTCTTCTTCTTAATCCTCTGTTTATCTCTCTGCAGATCAATCATATACTTATACTCTCTCTGTGACTCAAAAAAGGTATGGGATTGAGCAAGAATACACGTTGATGCAGAAGGGTGTGAACTGGCCTATTGGTTGGCCAGTTGGTGGCTTCCCTGGTCCTCAGGTTAGTCTAATAATCAACTGTTCCTAATGTTATCATTATAACAACTTTTTTACATAACTTTATAATCCTATGACACAGGGACCATACTATTGTGGTGTGGGAGCTGACAAAGCCATTGGTCGTGACATTGTGGATGCACACTACAAGGCCTGTCTTTACGCAGGTATTGGCATCTCCGGTGTCAATGGAGAAGTCATGCCTGGACAGTGGGAGTTCCAAGTCGGTCCAGTTGAGGGTATTAGTGCTGGTGATCAAGTCTGGGTCGCTAGATACCTTCTTGAGGTAGTAATTTTACTTTAACCGGTTCAGTTCTGAATACACACAAGCTTTGCTAATGATCAATCTATCTCTTTAACAGAGGATCACTGAGATCTCTGGTGTAAATGTCAGCTTCGACCCAAAACCAGTACCGGTTAGTATCTTAACGCTCTCTACTGCTCATCATATGCATTGTAACCAAGTCCTGCACAAAGTGAAATGAAATATTCACTTTAGCTCTTTGAAAAACTATTATTTTATAGGTCGCATCTATAAAGAATATATTTAGGGTAAATCTTCAAAATAACAATATTTATGAAACAATAGCATTCAATAATCAAAAGTCCCCAAATAGCACACATTTAACATGAAAAACATATAACTATTTTTACTACTTAACCCTAGGCTCACTCCCACCTCCTAGATATATCTACCCTAAATCATAATCATTAAACCCAAACATAAAATAAAAATTTATGTTTAATTTTAATTAATGTTAGTTTACTATTTTTTCCTTTATATGCTAATTTTATCATAACACATTTTTTTTTTTTTTTTAAAAACATGATTTAGTCTATTTGCGTGCATTACGCAATTTTAAAAAAGAAATATATTATGGCCTCTGAATTCTCGTGGCTAGCCCTGTTTGTAAGTAAGTAGTGCTGTTGTAACATATTGTTGCATTGGTTCAGGGTGACTGGAACGGAGCTGGAGCTCACTGCAACTACAGTACGAAGACGATGAGGAACGACGGAGGATTAGCAGTGATAAAGAAAGCAATAGAGAAGCTTCAGGTGAAGCACAAGGAACACATTGCTGCTTACGGTGAAGGCAACGAGCGTCGTCTCACGGGTAAACACGAAACAGCTGACATCAACACGTTCTCTTGGGGAGTGGCGAACCGTGGAGCTTCAGTGAGAGTGGGACGTGACACTGAGAAAGAAGGCAAAGGTTACTTCGAGGATCGAAGGCCAGCTTCTAACATGGATCCTTATGTTGTTACTTCCATGATCGCTGAAACCACCATCCTCGGCTAATCACACATGTTCTTTTAGTTGCACTATTTCGTTTCAAATAATTATTATCACGGACTTCGTAGTACGGTTGTGTGTTTTCGTTTTAAATAATTAAATAAAAGGATTTTATGGTGAAAATTTAAGTTTTTTTGCTATACTGTATGATAATAATAACAAAGTACGGCCTGTTTGAACTTGTCGCGGTGTGATTTAATAATTACGTATGATATAGTACACTATTATTTTAAAATAATATCGAATATTCTCATTATGGAATTTAGGAACAATTAAAATATTTAAAATTCCGAAGACGCAGGGTGGTGGAATATTTTAGGTGGGAACAACGTAACGCGCTCGTCACGTTAGTGTACTCCTCTGTCCTGGTCTGATGCATTGAAGTGCGCGACAATCTTGGGCTAAAAGTCAAATCGATTTTGTAATTTTATAGATATTTGTGATATTTATTTTATGGGTGGGGACATTCGTGAATCGTGACTACTCCACTAACAAAAGTTTAGTCTTTTTGTGACGTATTTATATCTTAAGTTAGGTATAGTGGCCATGACGAATTAAGAAAAGACGATGGCGAAAAGTTGTCTTAACGTTTTCTTAAGTTTTGAAAGTCATAAAACGCAAGTACACTGTTCGTACTTGGTATCTCTATGCATTTTAGTATCACACTTTGTGACTTTAATCATCGCAGCTACTTTAATCACACTTTCCTCGTAAACTAAACACGTTAATAAAAAATAATCATGACGTCTAACCCACTTGCTTTCGCTTTGAAACTTGAAAGAATATAAAGTTTTGAATCAACAAAAAATATACTAATATAAAGTTATGATTCACTGATTTGTGTTGTCGACCAACACAAAACAAAAGAAATTATACGGTTGGTAATGGTAATCATATAGAATTATAAAATCTTTTTGTACATCCAATTATAAAATCTTTATTAAAATACTATTTAAATTTACACCCAAAATTGCTTATTTCCAGATGATATGAAGCAATATTGTTATTAATCAAACTATTAGATACGTCCAGAGATTTTATGAAGCAGATTCTTTTTTTTTTTTTTTTGAACACATATGAAGCAGATTCCATTTTAACTTTCCCACAGGGAAAAAGAGTTGCTAGTAAGCTTTATTTTTCTTCGATATGAATTATTAACTTTGAACGAATCATGAATTATGATTCATCGAACTTGGACTCTTTTAAATCAGCATACAAAAGTCTGAAAATATTATTCCATTTTCATTTTCGTTTCACATGCTTGTACTTTTTCCCTTTTTACCTTAATTTAAAGGTACACATTCACTGTTTAATTTGGTTAGCTTGTTTGCCATTAATTTTATGTTTAATATTAGGAATATATGGAAATATACGATATTAACATATCTGTTTAGGATATATTCCAAGTCGGTTTAGTATATTTTCCTGAATTCTTCTTGTCAAGTTTGTATATATACATTGTGAAACACATCGTTTGTGAATAAGAAAGTCTTTTCCAAAACATTGATTCCTAGTTTTACATGGTATCAGAGCACAAAATTATGTGACCTAGTTATCAAGTTTGTCGCTGTCTTTCTCAAGTTGGTTCTCGTGTTCAAAGACTCGAAGTTCAAAGTCTCGTTGTAGCAGTCTTTGGTTTGTGATTTCTCTGTGACAAATCGCAGACATGGCCAGTGATGATGTTGAAGATTCTGTTGTTTCGAAAAGCGAAACTTCTCATGTTAAGGGAGCTGAAGTTTCAACTCCGTACTCTCTTTTTGCCTCCGACAACCCAGAAGCGATGATTACGTCGGTGAAGTTGACGGAGAGAATTACAATGAATGGGTCAGTGAGATGAGCAACGCTCTGCGTGCTAAACGGAAGCTTGGTTTTGTCGAGGGTACCATACCAAAACCCTTGGCAACTGTTCTGAATCTGGAACTCTGGCTGTACGTCAATTCTATGATCGTAGGCTGGATTCGGACCTCGATCGAACCACTCGTCCACTCGTACGCTCAACAGTCATCTTTGTTCAAGATTCTCACAAGTTGTGGGAAAATTTAAGAAACGGTTTTCAGTTGGAAACAAGGTTCGTGTGCACCACTTGAAAGAGCAACTAGCAGTGTGTCGGCAAGATGGGGCATCTGTGATCGAGTATTATGGTCGTTTATCCAAGACATGGGAGGAACTGGATATGTATAAGCCACTTCCTGTGTGTTCGTGTTCTGCAATTGCAGAATTTGAGAAGGATAGAGAAGAAGAAAAAGTTCACCAGTTTGTTATGGGCTTGGATCAAGCACGGTTTGGAGGTATGTGTCAGGGCATAATCTCGTCTGATTATGCACTGGACATCGGAGAGATTTATGCCAAGGTAATTAGAGAGGAGCAGCGCTTGAACTCAGCGAAGGAGCGAGAGTTACAACAGAACGCTGTCGGGTTTGCAGTCAAGAAAGAAGCTGGTGCTGATCAATCATCTCCACGTACTGATTCTGGAAGAAGAGACCGTGCCGTTCAGTGTTCGAACTGCGATCGTAGTGGACATGAAAAAGCCAATTGCTGGCAACTTGTCGGCTTCCCCGACTGGTGGGAAGAACGCGCAACAAACAGAAGTGCAGGAGGAAACAGAGGAAATTCCAGAGGTGGTCGCGGTCGTGGAAGTTATGGCTCCGATCGTAGCAGAGGCAATGGAGCAAAGGCGCACGCCACTACATCTAACTCGTCTAGTTTTCCTGAGCTGACACCGGAGCAGTGGCGAACGTTGACTCAGATGATTAGCGAAAAATCCTCATTACCCTCCGATAAGTTGTCTGGTAAGAGTAAGCTTGGTGATTTAATACTAGACACAGGAGCCTCCCATCACATGACCGGAGACATTTCCCTTCTCATAAACACGAAGGGTGTGTTACCGTGTCCGGTCGGTTTTGCAGATGGAAACAAAGCGTACGCCACACATACGGGACAGTTTCCCTTGACTGATCGAATCACTCTTGATCACGTCCTATTTGTGCCAAACTTAAATTGCTCCTTGATATCAGTGTCAAAATTGTTAAAGCAAACAAATTGTTTTGCATTACTAACTGATACGATTTGTCTGTTACAGGATCGTTTCACGAGGACGCTGATTGGAGCCGGTAAGGAACGAGATGGGGTGTACTACTTCACGGATGTCATGGCTGCTAGAGTTCATCGTGTGTCTGCTCCTGTTGACAAGTCTTCTGAACAACTTCGTTGGCACCTGAGACTCGGGCATCCATCATCTTCAGTTTTATCTAGTTTACCTATGTTTTTATCAAATAAACTTGCTACCCTAGGTCCTTGTGACACTTGTTTTAGGGCCAAGCAAACTCGAGAAGTGTTTTATGATAGCATTAATAAATCCAATGAGTGTTTTGCTTTGATTCATTTCGATGTATGGGGTCCATACAGAACACGTTCCTCTACTGGTGCAGTGTACTTTTTAACGATTGTCGATGACCATTCACGATCTGTCTGGACGTATCTCATGCTTGAGAAGTCTGAAGTACGTGTGATCTTGAGTAATTTCTGCAATATGGCACGCAATCAGTTTGGTAAATCAGTTAAGACAGTGAGATCCGACAATGGAACAGAGTTTATGTGTTTGTCAAGGTTCTTTCGTGAGAATGGGATTCTTCATCAGACATCCTGCATAGACACGCCTCAACAGAATGGACGTGTCGGAAGAAAACACCGGCACATTCTTAATGTTGCTCGCGCTATCTTGTTTCAAGGAAACCTCCCGGTGAGGTTCTGGGGAGAAGCCATAATGACAGCAACTCACCTGATAAACCGTGTTCCTACGCCAACTCTTCGTGGTGCTTCGCCGTATGAAGTCCTTTACGGTGAAAAGCCAAGTTACGATCATCTTCGAGTCTTCGGCTGTCTTTGTTACACGCATTTGAGAGCTCGTGACAAAGACAAATTTGGATCAAGGAGTCGTAAGTGTATCTTTGTAGGTTATCCATTTGGACAAAAAGGTTGGAAAGTGTTTGATCTTGAGAAGGAAGAGTTCTTTATTTCTCGGGATGTTGTTTTTTACGAAGACACCTTTCCTATGGTTCAGCCTTCAGAAAAGTCATCGGTTCCCCTTCCTACTGCAACTGATTACGCTGACTCGGATTGGTTATTTGAGTCCATTCCCATCTCACTCGATAGGGGGAGCAGTGAGAGTTCCGATAATATCGATCACAATGCCATCGTTGAAATGGTACAACCTGAGCCATTGCCCTCACAAGCTCCAGATTTGCTACCTGAACAACATTCTGATGGCACACAGGTCACGGCAGAAGCCGACACTAGTAATGTTGCCAGTGCTGAGCCAGTCCCAGACATCTTAGATAGTGATCCGGTTGTGTTAGGAAGAGGACAAAGGGTGCGTCTTCCCTCTGTCAGACTTAAAGACTATGTTAACTACAATGTCATCTGTAACGAAGACACCCATCTCGTTCCCATCTGTTCTTCGTCTTCGTCTTCGTCAAACGTTCCAGGTATGACATCATCTCCCTTTGCTACTTATATTTCTGACGATGCTTTCTCACCTGCGCATCGAGCCTTCTTAGCAGCTGTCACTTCCGGGGTTGAACCTAAGCGATATCATGAAGCCGCTAAACATAAGGTTTGGCAAGAATCCATGAAAGATGAGGTTACCGCTCACGAGGAGCAAGGAACATGGGACCTCGCATCCCTTCCGCCTGGCAAAACAGCTCTAATTTCCCAATGGGTTTACAAGATTAAGTACAACACTGATGGTACCGTGCGGCGACACAAGTCTCGTCTTGTTGCGAATGGAAACAAACAAGTTCAAGGTGAGGACTTTGAGGAAACCTTTGCCCCCGTTGTCAAAATGGGCACTGTCCGTATGCTTCTGCGCGTTGCTGCAGCTAAGAAGTGGGAAGTTCATCAAATGGATGTTCATAACGCATTTCTTCATGGTGATCTTGAAGAAGAAGTTTATATGCGTTTACCACCAGGGTTTACTCATTCCGATCCAACCAAAGTCTGCCGTCTACGTAAATCAATTTATGGTCTTCGACAGGCCCCAAGATGTTGGTTCTCCAAGTTGTCTAAGGCTCTTCTTCAGTTTGGGTTTGTTCAGTTGTACTCCAATTATTCATTGTTTGTTTATACTAAAGGACAAGTTGAGATTCGCGTGTTGGTTTATGTCGATGACTTAGTAATCGCCAGTAACAGTCTTGACAAACTTACCAAGTTCAAAGCGTATTTGGGAGAACAATTTCGTATGAAAGATCTCGGGAAGCTACGATACTTCCTTGGTATAGAAGTTGCTCGATCTGACGATGGTATTTTCTTGTCTCAGCGTAAATATGTCTTGGATATTGTTGCTGATACAGGTCTTCTTGATGCTCGGCCAGCATGCACACCGGTCGAACAGAACCACAAGATTGCGTCTGATCAGTCACCATTGCTTCCCGATCCCAAAATCTACCGACGTCTTGTGGGTCGTCTTGTCTATCTTTCCATGACCCGTCCTGAACTGTGCTATGCCATTCATTTATTATCTCAGTTTATGAAGTCACCTCGTGAAGGTCATCTGGATGCCACGTTGCGAGTAGTTCGCTACCTTAAAGGCTCTGCTAGTCAAGGAATACTTCTGAGTTCCGATGCAAATCTTGATATTTCTGTATACTGTGACGCCGACTGGAGCTCTTGTCCAGTGAGTCGTCGGTCCTTGAGCTCTTTCGTTGTTCTTCTTGGTGATTCTCCGGTAACATGGAAGACCAAGAAACAAGACACAGTCGCTCATTCGTCAGCTGAAGCGGAATATAGAGCTATGGCAAAGGCGACTCGAGAGATGAAGTGGATTGTTCCTTTAGTTAAGGATCTTGGTGTCCCTGTTTCTCTGCCAGTGTCGTTCTTCTGTGATAATCAAGCTGCCATCCATATTGCTGCTAATCCCGTGTTTCATGAACGAACCAAACATATAGAACGAGACTGCCATGGTGTTCGTGATGCGGTCCTTGCTGGTTTGATCGCCACTAAGCATGTGCGTACTAAGGAACAACTCGCCGATATCTTAACAAAGGCTCTTGGGAAACCACAGTTTGAAGCGTTGTTGTCCAAGTTGGGTGTGAAGAAGCTTCACTCTCCAACTTGAGGGGGAGTATTAGGAATATATGGAAATATACGATATTAACATATCTGTTTAGGATATATTCCAAGTCGGTTTAGTATATTTTCCTGAATTCTTCTTGTCAAGTTTGTATATATACATTGTGAAACACATCTTTGTGAATAAGAAAGTCTTTTCCAAAACATTGATTCCTAGTTTTACATTTAATAGTTCTGATAAAACGAATGCTTTTCCATCTCTTATCTAAGAAGAATTATACATCGAAATCTGAACCCTACTCGATTCAGTGACTTAGAACTCAAATAATGTGGCTATATGCAAGCAAATTATGCTAGTACGAGACTACGAGTATTGACCATTGAGATATGTATAGAGCACGAAGAGATTGTCATAGTATAGTGATTAGGCTACCCTATAAATTGAGAACGATAGTATAATGCATGTAATAAACGTTTTTAGTTTTTACGCAATCAAAGGAAATGTTCCATCACTGTAAACACTTTACACTTGTAAAGTCTTGAATTGCTTAAGTGGTTCAGAAGATAACTACTACACTTACATTATGACTAACTGTTAAGATAAATAATTGTAGCCGTTGATTTCCAAAGTGTAACGCTTGACTGTTTTTGTGTGTTTATATATCACTCTGACCGTGGTGACAAGTTAAGTTTATGGGACGATCCTTTCGAATGGATAATAGTAATACAGAGTGTGGATCAATTCGGAAAGAAAATTTTGATACAGACTACTAGAGATATCAAAATAGGTAGATCTACTTTCACACAAAATAATGAATAAGAGACGATAAATATTTGAAAACTCGGAAAGAAAATTTTGATACAGACTACTAGATGAGATATCTTAGTCTTATAGTAGCTTCGGCTACATCAAATAAGTAGATATACCTTCGTTGATTCTGTTTGTGTTCATGATGACATATCCCCAGAAAAGGTAACTAATCACTGTCTCCTACCAGCTTCTCCGATCATTTTCCTAATAACATCATTCCTCCGTCACAGGCCAAGGCCATAAATAAGTTTGCTACCGGAAAACGGTTCATCTATGCGACAAGCCTTCTCACCACCTCAAAGTCATCAACAAGTGGTCCATCATGCTCGTGCCTCCGTTGATCCTGCAGCTATGCCTCCTACGTTCATGCCTTATGCCTACAGTCTCTTATCTCAGCCCTGACGCTGGAAGTAACACAAAGGGACTCGGGGTAGAAGAATCAAAAGCGACAAGAGCCTTAACATCAGTATACCACAACAACCAAACTAACGCACCCAATATCAACAGTTTAGTGGCAGTTTCTTGTTCTACCCATGTAATGACTCAAGCAGTTAAAATGAAGTCTTATATACCTGATGCTAAATTTACCTAGCTTACTGATATTGTTATGGATTCAGCTTCATTCTCGTTCTGTTTACTTGCAGTGGCTTTACACAACATTTCTTAGAGAAACGGAAAGAGAGGTACACAACATTTCTTCACAGAATAAACCAATAAATGGTTTCTTGACTTAACTGTCTCACTGCTGGTTTTGCAGGGTCACAAAGCGTATCACCATATTGCTTAGACAAAAAATCTTCGACAGACTGTCTGAAAATAATGTCTGAGTGCATACGTTCTACAGCTCCCCAACCTAATCTCATTTACAGTAAGACTGGTTCAGACCAGTCCAGACCCAGCTTTGCAGTTTCGGGGTTTATATTATTGCGACAAATTTGGCTACACCGAAACATTCTTAGCTTTTATACTAAGCTTTCGTATATGCATTATTCATTTAAGTGCATTCTTTATTTATAATTTTTTTTTGTTGAAAATGATATGCCCTCCAAAAATTTAAACTGGTTAGATGTTCTCTAGTATCTAACAAAGTATTATAATAAGGTTTGTGTTATACTTTAGTTATTTAATTAAGATTTCAATTATCAGAAAATGAATTAATTATAAATTGATAAGTGTTAAAGAAGCATCTCGCTATTTTTTTGTCTTTCAAAAATGAACTAGACATTGACCCGCACAACCGTGCGGGTGTTATTTTCAAGAGATCATGTTTTATTTTAAAAGGTTCATGGTTATTCAAACAAATTAACCGAATGCTACATAATTCATACAGTATGTCATTTGATAATTTATTAGCATACAACAATCCACCTTTTACGTGTATATTTTTATTTGGCATAACAATTACCATTCTTATATAGGCTAATAAAGCAAAAAAGACATCCATGTCTTTTGGCAAAATGATTTATATCTGAACATAATCTTTATAGTTTGCGTAGATTATTTTTACAAATTTTATCAGTTAGTTATATAGTTAAAAGCCTCAAGAACAGTAATATATATATATGCATATTTGAGTAAGATGAGTAGTCCAATTCTCAACGAATTCCCGGTCTGCAGGTGTAATAATATATCAGAGTGCATCATCTTAACCATTTCAGGTGAGTTAGATTATTGACTTCACTGCAAAGATGAGCATCAGAAGAGCTTCCATCTTTCCTAATATTCCTACACATTGGAAGAATAAGCAAGGCTCACCAACAGAGATCCAACAACAAAATGATCCCCATTAGATTTCTTAGTAATCAGATATGTCCTGAGCAAAACATGACTTAAAATTTTCCAGTTAGATTAAACTCTCATCTCAATGATAAGGGCCCCCAATTATAATGAGCATAGTTAAGGACAGTTACTCTACTTCTGAGACAGTGAACTTTAACGGACAGTAATAGAGAAAAAATATGAAGATAAATAATTGAGCTAGTCAAGAATATAATATGGCTTAAGCATACTACAACTTTGCTTTCTCCCTCATGTATCTCAGCTAGATTTTTAACAAACGGTACAGCTGCTGGGTCATGTTTTGTTCTTTCTGTTGTGATAAGATCCTGAAACCCAATCAGTTCTTTTCATTAAATTATTCAGAATCTTATAAAGTAGTCAGATGAAGTAAATAATAAGCTACCAAGAAAAATAAAAGAATATGGATAATGTTTGAAAATGCGTTTGACTTCTTCTCGGTAAGGTCTCTTTGAATAGCTTTAAACAGAATCCAGAGGTAAGCTCTAGAATGACAATAACATGACAGTTTCAAAGTCAGCTCAGCCTGTTGAAAGTTAAATGCAACAAAGCCTATGAAAGGTTTAACCTTTTAAAGATATACAGCTATTTTTATCTCATTTCCAATAAGAAAGAAGAACACAAATTAATCTAGGCCAAGAATATACCACTTTAAACTACAGAGTTTAACCGATCTCCGGTATGTTTCAACGAAATCTCATTTACACAGCCCCTCCTTGACTACAATCTGTGAAAGCTTGTGAGTCTCATAAGGATCAAATCTCTAGAAACACAAAGGATTATAAGAACAACTTTTCTTATTAGCTTTAGAAACTACTCAAAACTAAAGCTCACAATATGTTTCTCTTAGATCATATGGAACACCTCTCCATAAGACCTATATTTATAGTTGAGACAATTCCCTTTAACATGTGGGATATGGAAAACACAAACCTAATCTAATAGAAAACTTCATTTTCCTATTTCTAGATTTTCTTATTGTGTTTATCCTTAACATATTAAACATCCAATAATATGTTAAGTTTCCACAAGCTTGGAATTACCCAACAATCATCCCATTAATTCCAACTTGAATTAGGGAGATCAATTTCTTGAACTCCGATTAAGCTCCTCATTTGCTTGAACTTAATCCTTGCTAATGGCTTGGTTAGGATGTCGGCCTTCTGTACAA